TCAGGTTTTAAAATAAACATGCCCAGTATGACTGACAGCTAGAATTCTATGGACAGCTAAAAATGTTATAAAAATAGAGCTGTCTTTCCAGTTATGCACTAGCATTAAGAAATAAGAAAGGGGACAGTGCTATGTATGACAGGCCCTTCCAGAAAGAAAACATGTAGTAATTGCCATTTTTGAAAACTCACAGTATCATCGAACAACGTAGGTTGGAAGGGACCTCTGCAGGCTATCTGGTCCCACCACTTGCTCCAATAATGGCTAACTTCAAGGTTGCACTAGGTTGCTCAGGGTGCTGTTCTCCAGTGGAGTTTGAAAACCTTCATGGGTGGAGAATCCAGAAACTCTCTGGGCAGCCACTCTCACAGTGATGTTCTTTAATGCTGAGTCAGAATTTTCACTTGCTGCCCTTTTTGACCATTGTCGTGTGTCTTTTCCCTGTACATCCCTGAAAAAGAGTATGGCTCCATCTTCTCTGCAATGCCCTCTAGATAGCAGAAGAAACTACCCTTTCTGGCTAACTTTCTGGATCTTCTTTTGGAAGATTTGATGCATGCTGAAGTGTCTTAAGGAAGGGTTGTGATATTCAGGCTTTTACAAGTTTCTGATACCTTCCACCAGTTATTTCAAAAGATTTTCAGAACTGCTTCCTCTTGGATTAATATTTTTTTTTAATTTTTTTTTTTTTTGAGAAATAGATGAGATTAAGGGAAGCTGTGGTAAAGAGTTACAGCATGGCTGTGTCAGATTTCCACCACCACCTGTCCCTTCACCATGGTTTCCTTTAGGCATTTGGCAAAACAGAAACAGTTGTGGACTCTTCAGTTCCTTTGAATCCTAGAATGAAATCTCTGTCTCACCCTATTCTATCCTTCCAAATATCCTTCCTTTCAAATGGGAATCACAACTAGACAAATAAAGGAAGCAAAGTGTCTTTTCCTCTTATCAAATATCATGCTTTAGTATGGAGGAGAAATCTTAGTAGTAAGTGCTAATTTTTCTGAGAAGTAAATCAGTTTTCCAAACCTGTCTGTTTGCCTGGATAGAATCATAGAATCGTTAGGGTTGGAAAGGACCTTAAGATCACCTAGTTCCAACCACCCTGCCATGGGCAGGGACACCTCACACTAAACCGTGTCACCCAAGGCTCTGTCCAACCTGGCCTTGAGCATTGCCAGGGATGGAGCATTCACAACCTCCCTGGGCAACCCATTCCAGTGCCTCACCACCCTAACAGGAAAGAATTTCCTTCTTATATCCAATCTAAACTTCCCCTGTTTAAGTTTTAACCCGTTACCCCATGTCCTATCACTGCAGTCCCTAATGAAGAGTCCCTCCCCAGCATTCTCATAGGCCCCCTTCAGATACTGGAAGGCTGCTATGAGGTCTCCACGCAGCCTTCTCTTCTCCAGGTTGAACAGCCCCAACTTCCTCAGCCTGTCTTCATACGGGAGGTGCTCCAGTCCCCTGATCATCCTCGTGGCCCTCCTCTGGACTTGTTCCAACAGTTCCATGTCCTTTTTATGTTGAGGACACCAGAACTGCACACAATACTCCAAGTGAGGTCTCACAAGAGCAGAGTAAAGTGGCAGGATCACCTCCTTCAACCTGCTGGTCGATAGGTAAGGTTTGTCTTTGTACGGGTAATTCTTGTTTGCCTCAGTAATGATTCAGGGATGTTTTGAAAAACTTTTTAATTAATTTTTCTAAAAACCTTTCTGATCAGGAAACTCCTATCAAACACTGCCTAAACATTAATCTAATCTTCTACATGTTATTGCTTCACAGCAGGCCACGGACATAGCAGAAGGGATGAGAGCTTTTCAGGGCCCACAGCAGAGTTAAGATCCCTAAATTAGTGGCCTGCTTTTTCCACTGGTGGTGTGCTCTAGTGAAATGGCACTGGAACAATTGTATTTTAATCTGCTCGTTTCTAAGACGCGATTTATGAACAGTCAGGTTATTTCAGTAGGATCAAGTATCCAATGAGATACACTGACAATAACACAGATGTACCCTGAAGCTGTGACTTTAGAAGCCATGAGATCTGTCCTTCAGCTCATATGTTTCAAACTGTACTGCAGTTTTGACTGCCTTACAGATTAATAACATTATGATAGGATGTGCATTTAAAGGTCATGTTCAGGGAAGGGGTAACTGGGATTCCTTCATCATTCTCCACACAGACATGCACAATCTAGTTCCTTTCCCCTTGTGTGTCTGATCAGCACTTGCTTCTCTGCTTGGTGCTGTGTGAGCTTGCTTGTAGCCAGCTGGAGCTGTGACAGCACTGCCTGTGCTGTTCAGTGTGAGACAGGGCAACAGACACCAGTGACTGATTTTCTTCTTTGTTTATTGCAAACAGAGATCCCAAGGGTCCAAATGTCCTCCTGCTTTGGACCAAGCTTCTTCCTCCCATTTCTGTGCTTGTTTTCCTTGCTGTCTCTCTTGAGTGTCAGGCCATCTGCTCCTTCCCTCTCGTTTGGAGAGCCTGGCACTCATACAGGTGCTTCCTAAGCCTTGCTGCTGCTGCCTGAAGAATTAATTTCCTGATGTCATCGGTGCTGCTCTTTGCATTTTGCAGTTCCCAATTTCTTTCTCAGCCAAAGTGGTGGGTTTGTAACACAACAAAGTCATGTCTGGGGTTTGTGCATTGATTTTTCTCAAGGAACAAGGCATCATATGGAGAGTTCCCCTACATACAAACACACTGCTTGTGGGGAAGGAGGTGGAGTGGGGTCACAAGGTGTGGAATAGCTCCAGAATAGGTTGAGGAAACAAGCTGCTTCATTCTTCTTTATCACCACCATTTTTTGTTTTGTTGCTTTTCTATTTAGACGTCAGACAATGATGTCCTAGACAAATTTACGAAGAACACATTCAAGGGTATAGTGATTAAACCACTGATTTGGAGCATGAGAGACCTATTTTACTGAATCATGCATTCAACATGAACCAGGCTATGAAGAAAATATTTTTACTTTTTTCGTGTTTCACTTATATGAAATAGAACAGCTGCAATAGAAGAGTTTGCAAGTAACTGAGAGCTATACCAAAGCTGTGACCCAGCAGTGAGGGATCTTACCTTGATTTCTGTACTTTTTTTTTGTGCAAAACACCTTTCAAGGTTTAGTTTCAGTGCAGAGAAAAAGCAGATGCAGTAACCTCACTGACTTCCATGGAACCGTGTGCTTGTTTTCTGGCCAGTGCTCATTACTATGCTGCTCACACATTCTGAAGGGAAATAACCAGCAGGCTTCCATCCCACTGAGGCAGCCCAGGAAACAAAGTTGAAGTATGCTCTGTAAGTCCAGGAGTGTGTAAATAGCACAATTTCTCCTAAAGGAACTGCATGGGCCAGATGTGCCTCTTGGAAAGGATCCGTGAGATGGTTCAAAGTTCAAAAACCAAGAAACTTGAAACCCAAGATATTCCCTGGTTACCAACTATGTAAAATACGCTTTTGTATACATGTGTATAAATATTTGTTCAGGATTTGATGCTGTGACTTGCAAGTTTATTGTTTGCGCTTACTGTCCTTAATTTCTTTTGGCATGACTTCTGCCATATAGATTGCTTGTCATCACTACTTTTTCATACCATTTCGGCAGCTCTTTTGTTTTTTTTTATTTAACCCCCTAACTGCTAATGGGCAGCAGTGACAGCAAGTTCAGGATGAAAGCCCAGAATATTCATTCTGCTCTGTGGGAATACCAGCTCTGTACCCTGATTCAGTGTAGCATATGGATACCTATCATTTTCTTAGCACTGCTTTCTTGACTTTACCTGTTGCAAATGGATAAAAAAGCCTTCCTGCAGTTTGGTGGTCCAGCAATTGCCAAATTCTTGACCTATAATTCTGTTTTCTGCCTACAATACTTCACATTCCTTCTTAATCATTTATTGAAGCAATCATTAGCACCCGATACCAGACCATCTCAGGTATAATCACTAACTGATGCTCAGGCAAACATATTTACTGGATTAAAAAATACCATTTATTTGTTAATGATGGTAACTAATGGAATAACTCAAGTTACTGCAGACACACAGTTCTGGAGGATCCCCTCTGTCTGCACTTCAGGGATTTACCACATTTACTGCTTAAGTAGCACAGACGTATTGCTAGTCAGATAGTCACAAGTAAAACACTAGTTACTTTACTTCACTGCCTGCTACTGAAAGGAAATGTGTATTTATTTTCCTTCTATAAAACTTCGAACATCATAGTTTTCTGCTCACATATTCTGCTAAAAATGTAAAGTAACTCATCAGAACTGGGATCAGGTTCACCTCTGCTGCAGCTGCAGGAAATAGAGGAGAAGGTAGGCAAAGAAGGGCAGCCTTGGCAGGATGGATACTCTGGCATGGTGTGAGGGTACATATGTGCCGTGCTCCCAGGCTCCAGTTTCCTGTGCCCCCCTCTCTGCCAGCCTGCACTTGAACTGAACTGCTGCAGTAAGGAAATAAGGATCTCCTCCAACCTTGCCTTAATAATTTGCAGGAAACTAGGAAATCAGATGCGTGCAGAGTATAAACAAAATCTGGCAGATTATATTCTCCACCTCTTAAGTAAAATGGCAAGTAAATTTAGACTTGGCAGAAGATGGAATTTCAGGAAAAACCTGAAAATCAGAAAAACACTTGTCAAGTGTTGAGCCACCCTAACATTTGGCTAAATTAAGATCCTGTGCCTCCCCATACTGAGCTATTCTAAAACCAAACTCCTTGGCCCTGCTTAAAGCACCCCTCTTCCGCCTTACACTCTATTGCTGAAGTAGAATATAGCAAAATTATTTCTAGCTAATCCAACAGAAAAGAGAACTCTCAAAAGTGTTATCTTTCTTTGAACAACCAGTGTTATGCAACTTCTTGAGGTTTCAGGTCAAGTTTCACTACATTCAAGATTGGTGGTCGGAAACAGTCATAGCAGCTGAGTATCACATCAGGCCAATATGACAAAAATAAACACCAGCAGTATAAAAAGGGCAGAGAGGTGAACAAGTTGTCCTCGCTTTATTCTCGTAACTTCTTACTACAGAGCACTTAATAGTTTGCATTTAAAAGTACATGATCGCAGCAGCTATAAGCAGATGAATGTGTGTGCATGCACACACAAGGAATTACTCTGTTCGGTTTTTGTCAGATACAATGACTGGAACATGTGTAGCAGAAAAAAATAAGTAAGTTAGCAAAAGAGGAGATTGTATTTATATAGGAATGAAAAGCATGACATAACTGAGTTCTTAAGTGGCCTACAAAATGGGAAAAGACAGTAAATACTCCTGCAGTAGCAGGAGCTTCCACAGGTCTGTCTGCAGAAATGCAGAACACCTTGTAATGTTCCTGTACATGCTGCTTTCATTTGCCTTTAGTTGGATATTAACAGACCTATACAGGATTATGGCATCCAACTGGATTTAAAATGAAGTGATATTTGTAACGTTTTCGGTGAAACACTTCCTCCCTTGATTTCAGGCCTGGAGACAGCTGGTTTTGCAGTATTGCTAGTACAAGTAGGAATGATTGAAACATTCTGAATACATATTTGAAGCACCCTGCTGAACACTATGGAGAAGGGCAGATGCCTTTTGGACATTATGATTTCCCCAAATTTTGCACAGCTGTTACACGAGACATTGCTAATCAGAGCAGTTACTGAGTGCTCAAGCCAGAGCACAGGCATACCTGCTCGATTCTCACCACATAAGCGTAAAATACATGTGTAAATAGCACTATTTGTATACTTTGTAAACATAGAAATAGAGATATCTGGATTCTCTTGCTCACAACTTTTTGTTCATGTCTCTCGCTCCCTCTGGGAGTAACAACTGACCTTATTGTTTCTCACTTTGCTGACACATCTGCCCCTCTGCTTCTGAGATGCCAGTCACAATGTTCTTTCATACAGATTAAAACCATTATATTAAACTCAGAACAAACGATCCTCACTCAGCTTAAAATTTGCTGTCTCTTAGATATCAGGAAGCCTATGTATCTAAAATTTTGCCGCCTGTTTTTCCCCAGCTATAGTAGTTGGTCAGGTAAAAATCTTTACGGATCTTCCCAAGCTTTTCCATTAAGTTTGAGACACTTTATTCAAATGATACTGGAAGAAAAAACTGCTATTGAGTTGAAGCAACAGGAAAAGAGGCAAGAATGTTAGAAATAACACTGCAATAGGCTTCTGATTGTGTTGCTCTTGATACAAGGTTATGCAGTAAATGACTTCAAATTTGAATTGTATCTACCCTATTTTGTATTTTACTTTTTTTCCAAACAGAATTATTTAGCACTTCCTACAATGTGCTTGGTATCATATGTATTGGCCAGCACCAACTGTGCTGCTGGAGTGGATTGCATCTAGTGGCTGGAAAGCAAAAGTTGGCCAGCTGGGATGCTTGGCTTGTGGGTGGAAGTTGCCTCAGGCACACGGCTTGTTAGTGATATGAAGCTATTCTCTGAATCCCGCACACACTATAATGTACAGGTCAGTGGGTAGGACAACACTAAAGGAAATGGTGGCTTAGACACCTGTCTCTGAGCACTATCTCTACAGCCTATAGTCCAAATTTTGTCATGATGTGATCTTCAAAGACTGATCAAAATTGCTTGGGTTCAGTTACCTGAGATGTCTCTGATACCTCTCATTATTCTGGCAGCTGCTGTAAAGGACAGCATCAAACAAGCAATAAAAATGAGGAGGACGTTGAAGGGACTAATCAAAGGATTAATGTTCCAGCATAGGTAGGAAACAATTTTAAGCTGATTTTGAAAGCCCAGATTTTGAAAGGTCTGTAACTTCTTATTTCAGTACTTCTGCAAGTGTCTGAAGTGGAAACAAAAAAACCTTCAAGCTGGAGCCTAAACCCAGCTGTGACACAGGCAAATGCAACTATGTGTATAATATAAAGGGATTTGCATTAAAAACAAATTAAAGGTTATTACAGGAATGGAAGGCAGACAAATAAGCAACAACAACATACTGTAGGTAGTTTATCTTTCAAACATACAATGTGATATTGTTGTACCAGGGACTGAAAGGATGCAGATCTACTATGGAGCCCTAAATCAGATGTACTGAGATAACAGGAACATCCTATCCCATTTTCTGACAACACATATAAATAACACAGAACCTAACAAAATGTGCAACAGAATTCTACTTAAAGTTATTTTCTAGAAGAACAATAATTTTTTCCAAAGATTTATGTGTCATCTTGGTAGCTGCATTTCTTGGCGGTTTAGAGGAATAACTAGTTGGAATTCTTAGATAATTCACAAAAGTAATTTAAGGGACCTTCAAGATGGCATCTGCTCTCTCCTCAATATATTCTGAAGCATGCTAACTGAGTTCACTGCAAGCAGGCAGATGCCTGACTTGGCAGGTTCTTGTCTGAATTTGATATGCCATAAATCACATTCACGATGATCAACCATCACATCATCATGGAAAAAATGTGGAACTTTCTAGAGCTGGTTTTCCTGACTATAGGCTATGCCATGGCCAGAAAGTAACCAGCTGAAGAACAGCTGTGTGGATGATGAAGCAATCGATATTAAGTGGGAAAATACTATGTGCAAATATGCAAGCCAGAATCTTATTGTACAACAGTTTCAGATAAGTTTGGCTCAAGTTCTGGACCACTTATTGAGCGATCAAAGCTCTCTTCCATCTGAATTTGTATTTCTACTTCCCTAAACACAATAATCAGACATTAAGTTTCCAAGGCCAAATGCTAGGATTGATTTCACAAACAAGCTGTGTGGAAGATGTATGACAAGCACAGTTTCACTTATCTTTTTGCAATACATTAATAGGAAGTATTATTCTCAGTTTAATTCTGCAGAATAAAAGGAAAGAGCAATGGACTCAAGAAAAGGAAATAAAGGGTGAGGCTTTCTAGCGGCAGTAGAATAATTTTTTATACCAACAGTAGTTGGTATTTGAATAGAAGTATGTATGGTTTAAATATGCAGGTGTGGTAGTCCAAGAAATAGGGTGAAACTGCATTTAGAAATTAGTTGAAGCCAAATTTATAGCCAGCTAAGGCAAACAGAGGATATGGATGTAGTTGATTAACTTAGTACACTAAAGCAAATCTGAACAAAAAGCTTACAAAAGAAACAAACATGAGCTTGTTCCAGCTGCCTCCTTTGTCTGAAGATATAGGTCCTCTTTGTGCTGCTGGTGAAGATCTAAAGAAAAAAAAACAAACAGGATGTTCACAGCACAGAGCTGAGTTAGGATTCTTTTAAATATCAGGCGGTTGTAGCCAAGGATGAAGTTTGCAGTCCAAGTGCTAAGCTAGAAGTTTCTTTGTAAGAGCTTGTCACCAGATTCCCTTTGGCTGTCACAATGTTATAAACAGGATATTTGTGCAAAAAAAGCCCTGGGAACGCTTCTTTCTACCCGAATACCCAATCCTCCTTGTTTCTCCACATCCATTTACTGTCTCTGGCCTTATGCTTGAGATTGTATAAAGCAGTTCTAGACAGCAGTGGTCCTAGAGGTCTATTTTTACAGCAGTTGATTCAACAGTATCCAGATCCATTTCTAAGCCCCCCCCTGACATTGCAATAATGCAAGTAATAAATACCTCTACTAATAGGTTGCATCTGGCTTCCTTTCTACTCATGTTTGTAAGCCATCTATGCCATCTAGTGGGTAGTTTTTTATTTACAAGTTTTCTGCAAATACCAGGGCGACAAGAAGCCCAAATCCAAATTTTAACTCAACAGGGCCATAGATCAAGTTTGCAGAGGAGTTAAGAGCCACTATTGCTACCCAAGAAGCTCCAGGTATATTACTGCACCTTCTAGGCCATCCCTCTGCTACCCTGACACAGCCTTCTCCTTTGGTATCCCAATGTAACAGGAATTGTGGAAACAAAAAATGTCACTTGGACAACTTTGTTTTGTGGCTCGGGACATTATTCTCCAGAGGCTGAGAAGGCAGCTATTAATACTGTAACAGCAAATAGCCATTGTGAAAGGGGATGTAACAGAGCCTGCATACCTAGTCTCACTATTTACTCTAGAAGTGTATACACTGAGCACACACTACAAGGGAAACCTTTTTTGACAGATAACATGTTCTTAATAGTGACGTCCCTACTGACCAAACTGTTCCCATATCAGTTAATGGACTGTCAGAAAGCAGAGATCCATCCACAGAGAAGACAGATCTAGAAGATAATCATCAAATAATTTATATACATCTGCATAAGGGCAGCTAATTTCAATGGCAGTGTTATTTATTGCAGAGAAGTGATTTGGGGAAGAGTGCAAGTATTCATTGGCTTGAAGTATTTTAGCTATGTAAATTTCAGGGAAAGGCAATGATAGCATTCAGACTCTGACCCGATTAGGGATAGCATAGGTAAGAAGTGAATCAAGCCTCTTGCACTGCCATCTATACAGGAGGGGACAGAAGGCTCAGGAAGGCAAGAAGCAAAGAAACTTCCTAAGGAGGATGATAGCTGAGCTGCTTAGTAGCTACCCCAGGAGAGTATGAGACTGGTGCTTAGAATACACTAGTGATTAGGTTAATTTAAGGACCAATGTGGATGGAAATGAAGGGGTGGCTGCTCCCCGGTTTACATACTGCAAGCGTTATGTGGTAACACTGGAGAACTGGTATTCTCATCCCTTAGGTGAAAGGAAAAAGACATTAATGGTTTCCAAAAGCCTTCTCATCCAGGTTTCCTCACAAAACTTTGAGGGAAATGGTTTAAAACCTGGGAGAAGAGAAAAAATTCTGTTAGGAGTTCACAAGCTTATATATTTTAAAGTCCTGTAAAGTGCTTTTCCTCCAATTTGTTAATATTGTCACCATGTTCACAACTGCAGTTTTTCATAGGGCAGCTGTATTTTCTTTTGACATATGAACAAAAGCCTTACCATTCACTGGCAGAACAAGGAAACCCTATTTTAATACACCACACAAGCAGTGGTGGAAGGACTGGAAGCCTGCTCTATGATCTACTACCTAGGAGTCCAGAGCTATCTGATACATAAAATGCAACCATTTTCAGCACACATTTATAGGTTGGTGCTGGGGTATAATTTGGATGTAAGAATAAATGTTGCATGACAAGGTGAGTAAAAACTTTCAGTGACCAGCAGGAACAGGGGGTGTAAGGTGTACACTTTGTAAGGGTGTATTCAAAATGGATCATATGCTACAGAAAGTGACGTACAACACCTTTTCTGTACTGCATGAAGCATTACTGCCACACAACCAAAGTCAGGCTAGTAGGAGTTGCACCTCTCTGCTGCCATAACCAGGAGTAGCAAAACAGGCTTTTCATAGCAGAAGTTATCATTGCAGTATTACATAGGTATTAACATACAAAAGATTTGCAGGTGCTTGAATTAGGGCAGAAAGGACAGTAGGAGATAGGATACGGCCAAATGTATGGATTATGCATAAAAATAATGTAACTCAAGAACAACTTTTATGCATCCATATATCCTTCTACTTTCCAAACTGTGAGGAAGTTTTCATATTTGGATGTTCAAGTACCTTATGTGTACCTACACATGCAGCAGCATATAGATAAGAAATTTAGTTATAATTGAAAACAGTCATCTTTACTGTAAATTTACTGAAATACATAATAAACCAATTTAATCCTCTTTTTATAATAAAGCAAAATACAGACAGAAAGGGAAACTATAAAACCTAGTTTGGGAGTGATGCTTGCTAACTGAGAAAGTTACATGTTGGATATAATATGCATTCTCTGCAGATAACCTACTGGCCCAAAGTAAAGACATTAAAATACAGAAATTGGGTTTCCACAAAAAATGAAAGATTAAAAAAAAAAATCCTCAAAATTTGGAATTGAAAGTTCTAGTAGCTGGAGAAATGCCCTTTAGAACTGTTGCCATTTGACCTACAACTTCATTATTCACAGAAGAATATCAATGAAAGCAATTTCAAATTTGTAATAGATTTTGCATCAAAACACTGATATATACAAACTTCATCCATACCACCAGTGATACACAGCGTGATTGTGCGATCAATGAACTGATTAACACCCAATTTTGAATAGCAGGTGCTCACAGACAATTGTGTGCAATTTGTAGATAGAAACTGCTCACTCAATACACAGTAAGTAATAAATTCAAGAATACTGCATATTGTGTATGGGTGACAGATAATAGATGGTAGAGGTGGAATACGTTGAACTGTTGCCTTCTGCGTTGTTTGGTTGTAATGACACTGAGGATGGACTGAACTTCTTTTACTTACGATGAAAGGGTACACTTAGAATCATCAGGATAATCCACACAAAGTAAGAACATTACAGACCTGTGAAGATATCATTTTATTTAGCATCTTTCAGGCAGAAAAATGAAGAAAACAAACGAAAAAATCCAAGACAAAATCAATAGTATTATCAAGTCTGAAGCTTCCCTTCAATTATATTTATCTTGCAACCTAGTGTAAATAACTAGAGCTGTGAATACTACTGTGAATAGCTAGTAATCCTGCAGATTACTTGTGTTTTTAACTGTTGTTTGGATTTTCAATCAAAATACAGATTTTATAATGAAGTGGAATACATGAGGCCATCTTCTGTGTCTGATATTAATTATACAATTATACAAGGGTAATTAATTATACAATTATACAATAGTAGTAGTGTTCTGCTCAATTCATGGCTGAAAAATTGCCATGTCTGAAAAATGTGACATCAGCTCTCCAATATATCAGTCTCTTACTGAAGACACAAGATTAATTGCATTTTTAAAGGTAAGAAACCATTTAGAATAGATGAGATGCTTCTGCATATACACTATAGTAATGAAGGAATTTCACTTACTTGTAATTGTCAGTGCAGATGACATCATAACCAAGGGTTTTCAATCTGTTTTCTAGTTTCTCTACAGTATGAGTTCCACAGGAATCTCTGTGAGAAAGGATTTTAAGTATTATTGCATTTCCTTTCACTGAACCTGATGGAATTAGTAAAGTAAATCCCCATTATTTTAGCTCTTCTGTATTCCTTAACACCCACAGAAAACTGGTGTAAAATCCAATTTATAAATCTTCATTTTCTTACAGTCATTTAATATTTTATACTCAGTTTGCAGATACTGGAAGGTTAGCTTCTGTCACTGTAGCACTTGCAGATTCTATTAATCAATATTCCCACATCTAATATTTCACTAGACAAACAGAAAAAGAGCTAGTTACTTTTGTAAAATAATAACGAGTGTTTCATTTGTAATATTCTTTGGCAGCTATTTAGGTGGTGCTAAAGTTGATGCCAGCTGTCTCTACAGAATAAGCTGGTTATAATAAATTAGAATTATTCTTGTTGTTAGGCAATTGCTCTCTTTCTTGAATACAGAACAGAAAAAACACAAGGAGAAAGGAAAAAAAACCCAACCCAGAAACAATCCTAAAATGCAGCTTCTGTGTCTAGCAATGATTTTCTAAATTATGGTCTAATTACAAAAACAAAATTTAGCATAGTACAGAACCTACTGAGGTTTCTAAAACTTGCGTCAGCATGAAGTATTAAGGCTACTTACCCATTGGTCTGTAAACACTCATGACTAAAGTAATCATATAGGGACCAACAAAATAACCATAGAATCATAGAATCGTAGAACAGTTTGGGCTACAAGGGACCTTCAAAGGTCATGTAGTCCAGCCCCTGCAATGAGCAGGGATATCTTCAACTAGATCAGGTTGCCCAGAAGCACATCCAGCCTGGCCTTGAATGTCTCCAGGGATGGCATCCATCACCTCTCTGAGCAACCTGTGCAAGGGTTTTACCACTGTTATTGTAAAAAATTTTTTCCTCACATCCAGCCTGAATCTCTCCTCTTTTAGTTTAAAACCATTACCCCTCAGGCTATTGCAACTGCTACGCAAATGTAACTAAACAGAAAGATAAGGTGAATTTTTATATACAGGTCTAAATAGGATAAATTGATCTTTATGGAAGACATAACTTACGTATCTGGTCCTTCAATATCATCCACAACCCAGATGGCAATTTGTGAGATTTTGTCTTTCTGAAGATTAGGTATTTCATAATCTGCAAAAAAACTAATTCAAGAAACAAATTTTTAGAACTATAAAGAACAAGTAAAATAAATAAGCTTTTCCCCTTTGCATTAATGAAGGCTTTGATCCTGCTGTAGGATATGGGCTTTCTCAATTTTACATTTATATCTAATGATTACAATTAGACACACCACAGAGTAGAAAAACTGATTCACATTCTGAATGCCCTCAAAGGTCAAAGGCATTTAATCAGAAGATTTGTTTTCACATTCTTTATCTTAGAAGGGCTCAGCTGAAGAAAAGTTACAACTTAAGAGGTGAACCAGAATGAAGGGAACTTTTCAAAATGAAAAAAAAAAACCCAAAACATTTGATAATTAGTAAAAAAATAAAAAGGTCACTCTTGTGGTTACTGCTTTTAGACGTGTCCTTGGTTCAGCAGTAGCAGTCATTTTTCTCCTTCTTAGTAGCTGGCACAGTGCTGTGTTTCCAACTTTAGTCTGAGAACAGCACTGATAACACCGATGATCTTAGTTGTTACTAGGTAATGTTTACTCCGATCAAGGACTTTTCAGTCTCATGCTCTGCCAGCAAGGAGGGGCACAGGAAGCCGGGAGTAAGCAGACAGGACACCTGACCCAAACTGGCCAAAGTATTCCATACCACAGCACATCATGCCCAGTGTATAAACCGGAGGGAGTCACCTGGAAGGCCCAGATTGCTGCTCAGGTCAGGCTGGGTATTGGCCGGCGAGTAGTGAGTGGTTTTATTGTGCACCACTTGTGTTTATTGTTTTCTTTTCCTTTTCCCCTTTTAGTTTTATGTTCTCTTCCCTTGTTATTTCCCTTATCATTATTATTATTGGTGGTAGCAGTAGTGGTTTTGTGTTATACCTTAGTTACTGGACTGTTCTTATCTCAACTTGTGGAGTTCCCACTGTCATGCTTTAAGCCTGGCCGGTAACTCAGAACCACGCAGCCGCTCGCTCACATACACACCCACACCCCCCCACACACACTCCCCCTTCTTCCCTCCCACTCCTGGAGAAATAGGGAGGAGAACTGAAAGAATGCAACTCCCATTGGTTGAGATAAGAACAGTCCAGTAACTAAGGTAAACACAAAACACATTTTTTTCTACAAGAGAAATAGATTTAAATGTAGAAAATCAAAGCAACATTAATGTGAAGTATGCATGTCTAGGATATGTAAGACCATAAAGGAGAAAGTTCTAGCCATGTCTATCCCTAGCTTAGGAAATCTTCCACTTTATTGCTTTGTGTAGGTATTTAAGTAATAATTAAAACAAGACAATAAAATGGCAACTAAATCACAGAACCACAGAACGGTTTGGGCTGGAAAGAACCTTAAAGCTCATTCAGTTCCAACCCCCCTGCCACAGGCAGGGACACCTTCCATTAGAGGAGGTTGCTCCAAGCCCTGTCCTGCTTGACCTTGAACGCTTCCAGGGATGGGGCAGCCACAACTTCTTGGGGCAATTCCAGTGTCTCACCACTTTCACAGTAAAGAACTTCTTCCTGGTAACTAAAGACGCCAAATCTAAAGGATTATTTTAGTATCTGTAAACTGATTTTTTTTTTTTTTTTGTGAGAGGCAGGCATTTCAAAGCCACAGATTTCAAACCATTCCAGCAAAACATACTGTAATGATTTCCAACCTTATAATTGCTCTCATTTTTTATTATTCATCAGAAAGCTTATAATGTCTGTGTCTGCACTGAATGCACAGTCCAAATCTGAGCCTAGATGTGTGCCCATTATGGATCTTCTTAAATGTCTAGCTCTGGGATGCAGTGTCTCTTAGCCACTTTCAATGCTCTAATACCCCCCAGACTAGAAGGGACTGTTAGCTGTTACCTCCTGGATGAGACCAGCAGTGGCAATGTGATCACAGCATTACCCTCCTGGTGCCTGCAGGCAAACTACTGGTGCTCTGGCAGGGAAGCAAAAGGCATGGCGGTTGTCAGTATCTGTTGACAGCCAGCCAACACCTGCTCATGGAGTTAGAAAGTTTAACCTTCTGGAGAAGCAAAAGCATTCGACACTGTCCCACACGACATCCTTGTCTCTAAATTGGAGAGACGTCAATTTGATAGGTGGACCTCTCAGTGGATTAAGAACTGGCTGGATGGCTGCATGCAAAGACTTGTGGTAAAGATCAAGGTCTAGCTGAAGACCAGTATCAAGTGCTGTCCCTCAGGGATTGGTGTTGGGACTGGTCCTGTTCAACATCTTTGTTGGTGACATGGACAGTGGGATTGAGTGCGCCCTCAGCAAGTTTGCCGATGACACCAAGATGTGTGGTTCGGTTGATACCCTGGAGGGAAGGAATGCCATCCAGAGGGACCCTGACACGCTTGTGAGGTGGGCTGATGCCAGCCTTACGAAGTTTAACCATGGCAAGTGCAAGGTCCTACACCTGGGTCGGAGCAATCCCAGGCAGAGATACAGGTTGGGTAGAGAAGAGATTCAGAGCAGCCCTGCAGAGAAGGACTTGGGGGTGCTGGTTGATGAGAAAATGAACATGAGCCAGCTTCAGTTTGCGCTCACAGCTCAGGAAGCCAACCATATCCTGGGCTGCATCATAAGGAGCGTGACCAGCAGGTTGAAGGAGGTGATCCTGTCCCTCTACTCTGCTCTCTCATGAGACCTCACTTGGAGTATTGTGTGCAGTTCTGGTGTCCTCAACATAAAAAGGACATGGAACTGTTGGAACAAGTCCAGAGGAGGGCCACGAGGATGATCAGGGGACTGGAGCACGTCCGGTATGAAGACAGGCTGAGAAAGTTGGGGCTGTTCAGCCTGGAGAAGAGAAGGCTGAGTGGAGACCTCATAGCAGCCTTCCAGTATCTGAAGGGGGCCTGTAAGGATGTTGGGCGGGACTCTTCTTCAGGGACTGTAGTGATAGGACAAAGGTAATGGGTTCAAACTTAAACAGGGGAAGTTTAGATTGGATATAAGGAGGAAGTTCTTTACTGTAAGGGTGGTGAGGCACAGGAATGGGTGGCCCAAGGAGGTTGTGAATGCTCCATCCCTGGTGGTGTTCAAGGCCGGGTTGGGCAGAGCCTTGGGTGACATGGTTTAGTGTGAGGTGCCCCCGCCCACGGCAGGGGGGTTGGAACTGAATGATCTTAAGGTCCTTTACAACCCTAACTATTCTATGATTCTGTGAAGTGGAACATGAGGAGGCAGATAGCAGCAGTTGCCTGCTCTGGACAAGCATGGCTAACTAGAGACCAGTAGCAACAACAACAGATTTGCCTATCTGTTCAGGGTGTCCAAGCCTGTCTTAAACACATAGCGAAAATTTAACCAAAGACTAAGATTTCAATTATTTTTAACACACTTGCTCATTCACATGTATGTTATTGCCAGGAAAAATGCAGCTTCCTCCAAAGTACAAATGAATCTTTAACTAGAGTCAGAAACTGTGGAGGAACAATGTACCACTGACTTCAGAATACCTATTTTTGAACTGGCTAATATAATTAAAGAAGTCTGCCAACTGCATGAGCAAAGTTATTTTGTAGTGAAGTGAGAAAGAAATCCGAACTGAATTGGTAAGAGGTGACTTAATGATGATTTAAGTGCACAAAAGGTAATCCAGGATAAACTTTGGGAGTGGCTTTGAAATGCTTGAAAATGTATCAGCGAGATGTTTAGGAAGACAGGTGGATCCTTCAGATTACCGTCTGATACTAATTATTCAACTCCAAGCCTCTTTCAAACAAGATCTCTTAAAGAAATTCAGTCATAAATACACCAGAAGATACACAGCAAGAAAACTGTTTTGGTTTTTTTTCTGGGCAGTCTGTGTTCCAGTGGTGGAGATTTCACTGGTTACAATACCTCCAAACACGCAACCCAGGGAACTGGTGGAATTAATTTATGTGTATTGTGAAATAAGGAATCTGTAAATTAATAGAAAAAAAGTGAATAGGTTTCTGAAATAAGGCATCTATGCTGGATTCTTGGCTCTGCTCTGCTGCCAGCTATTGTCATGTGCAGAAGACTTGATCCCAGCTGACAACCTGCCTAACCCAAGAGGATCATATGTCTTCTTAATCAGTTGAAAGCTGTGTACAGAGACAGACCTTTGAGGGATGGACGTAAGTAGGTAGTAGGTGTTTTGGAACAGATAGTTCTTGCTTCTCTCCTATATGGAGATAAAATTAACTTCTCAATGATTACTTCTAGTCCACAGTGAACACACAGGAGGAGGATCTGTTCTATGGGTCTTTAAAACGTGGGTTTTTTTGTCTGCCTTGGACAGGACTCAAGGTAAGGAAAGATGTAGTTACCTGAGGTAAGGAAAGATGTATTTTTCATCAAAGCTGGAAAGTCATTATAGCCACAAATTCAGTAAAAGTTCTCAAGGGTGTACTTTTACAGTAAATTTTATACATAAGCTAGATGAACTAAGTGCTACATTTGTAAATCAGAAAAAAACATCTGTCCTTAATATATGAGGGAATAAGGAGAATAGGAAGCTAATCCTTGCTATCATTTTTCTCAATAAGTCTTTTTTGCTTTCTTAAGCCAAATCTTTCTTCTACCTCTTCTTTTGGTCTTGAAGAAATAGCAGGTAAAAGTATTTTCCCTATAGAAAATACCAAGTTTGTTCCTAGGCCTGACAGAGGCTACACTCCGTGTAATGATGGCCTCTCCTTGGAGATGTCTCTTAATAGAAATTTTGTAATGATCATCTTTTTGAAAACATGCACATTTTGCCACAGTATGTGGGCTTACTTAGGGGATGCTTTCAAAGAACATTTATCCTGCTTGCCACAGCAGTTTATAAAATGCAGGATTCCAAAGGATTGTTTCCATCCATTTCATGTTAATTCCTACATTTGCGGACAATTAACAGTTGTCCCCACAACACAGCAGACTTTGATGCAACAGGTTCTTTTAGCCACCTTCCCATGCAGGAGAAAACCCAAACAACTGATTGACCCTTTTTTTTGCAGGCATCAGGCCATTTACACATAAATAAGTCAGTTTTCTTACCCTGGCTCTGGATAAGCTCCTCCAACTGCAGAACCATTCAACAAGATATGTATCACCCCAGAACTGTGCTGTGCATACTGCAACAGATAACATGTTTTTTTTTTAGAACTTACAGATTTGTTACATGACTTGGTATTGTATAGCAAGCATCAACGACCAAAGAAAGAGTTTTATCAAGAAAACATATCAGAATTGTGAAAATAATACTAAACTAGAACCCTAGCAGGTCATTGCAGTAGGGAGAATAAGAACTAAATAGCCAGAGCGTTAAATTAATACATCTAAAACTATTTTCCCACACCTATAAATAGTCTCTTCAGCATAGGAAGAAAGCTTTTTGGCACTCTGTGTTGGGTTTGATCTGTGAATTATGCTTAATACATACTAACGAAGCTAACAGCATTTTAACACATTATCTAGCTAAGGTGAAAGGTTGCCCTTGCTAGAACACCACACCCAGTGTAAACCAGGGTATTTGTATCAGAGGAACTAATCTAACACAGTTACAAACTTAAACCTGGTCTGATCCCATGATGTTTCCCCTGAATCACCCAGGACACACTCAGTAATGTATGAAGTCAGCACTAATGAATTATTTACAGTGATTGAGGCCATCCTCCAGAAAGATTCCACTGCGTTGTTTTCACATTCCTCTGTGGTAGGGCAGGATTCATAGTCCAGTTCTGTAGGAAGGCATGTGATTTATGCTATTAGAGAGATGATTAGGACTGTAAAAAGTGATATTAGAAAGCAATTAAATATATTTGTGCATTACGTACTGAACATACAAGATGGTCTGACACAACACTGAAAGCTGACAGTTGTACTTTTTTCTATCATTTTCCATCCTGTGCACTTCATGTAAACAGTGAAAATTCTGTGGATTCAGTAATTTAGCTAAAACAGCTATAACACTGTATCTGGGATGCACAGAGCTCTGCATTCAGAGGGTTAAGAAGGAGGTTTATCTCCTGTGCCGCACTGTTTAGATTTCACTGTGTGCTCCCCTGACCACAATGTTACATGTTCACACAAAACAGAAGAGAATGAGATAGTGAAGCTCACTCTGATTTTTCATGGAGTAAGCTCACTCTGATTTTACATGAAGTGAGCTCACTCTGATTTTACATGGAGTAAGAGCAAAACTAGGTCCTCCAGAACACAGCAGTTGTTCTCCATTGTGGTTTTAAACACAGATGTTTAATATAGTACACATTATCTTACCAATGCTGTTTGCCTGCCCACACCAGTTTAGAAAATCTCCAAAGAAGCCAAACAGAGTATCAGCCAGAGACATGTAGCGCCGGCCCCTGCTAGCAAAGCTGTTGACTAGCAGATGATTATTTTCCCAGAAGAGAGACTACATAAAAAAGTGGGGGGGGGGGGGGGGAGAGAAGAAGAAATGAACAAATGAAACATCACTTGGGCATGGACACACTGAGATTATGGGGTGCAGAAAACAGTTTTAAACACGTTTTGGTATTCGTTCAAAATCAAGCTAATAACCTGAAATGTTACCTATATCTTTAGTGGAACGAAGTTGTTTGGTTTTTTTTGGTTTAGTTTGGTTTTTTTAACAGTGATGTAAATTCTGATCACTAGAGGCTTGAGGAGTATTTATACCATGATAGGAATGGATATAGACTTATATTAAGTATAGTTAGGCCTAGCTTTGCCTTCCTCAGCAGACAGATTTAGGAAAAGCGAGAAAAAGGGGAAGACATTTATAAGGCAGATAAATTTTACCAAGATTTTCTCACACTGCTATGTTGGCTTATGGTGTGAACAAAATCATTCATCTAGCTGTTATTTCTGTGCTTGCAGAACTCTTTCATGAATTAAGATATGTTGACACGAGTATTTGTTGTTTTCGCTTGTATCATTTAGAGATAAGGAATAACTGTGATAAATGTAAAACTGCTTTAAAGTACCACCTTTTAGAGAAGGCCAAAGCACACATTCTGATGGTGTGAAGAGCTGTGGTTTTTGCACTTTCACAGTTCTCTGCAACTGCCAGCACATCAAACCCTTACTGTTTTCTAGCACATAATGGAGTCCTGTCCGTTTCTGCTTATGTTTGTTTAACATGTCAATGTTTAACATGTCATTGCCCTGACACTTGGCTGTGAGGAGTGGAAGCAAAAGGCAACGGCAGGCACAGCAGGTGCAGGCAGAGCACCTAACTTGAGGAAAAGTAGAAGTGGAGGTTCAGGAACTATGACAAAGCACCCAGTACAGCAGGAAAAATGGGGGATCTTCGTACAAAACTGGAGAAGTTGTTGAAAAGTTACTGCATAAAATAAATGCAGCCAAACACATTGAAAAATGCCATCAAGCCAGAGTCTCATTTGTAAACTACAGACAGGCCAAAAATAATGAATCATGAGTCAGCCACATAATGACTCTTGGTCAATTTTGAACTGTGTCATGGAAAATTTTCTCGATGTCACAGGACTGTTAACATAACATTAATAATCATTACCTTGTTAGGTGGAATTGTGTGCAATGACAGGTTGATAAATAATTCGTAGTCCTTAGGTAGAATGTTGCAAGGATCCTTGCTAATAAATGCATTTTTAAATGCTTCCCATATCTCTGAACAGTTTTTCTCCCTGTAATCATTGATACAAATAGCAGAGTTTTCTCAAACCAGAGCAAGGAAGTTATTTGTTCCCAAATTTTTCAAATACCCAAATTAAAACCACTACAAGTTTAAGATAGAAAACTGAAATCAGAGTGGTAGCAAACTTGTAATCCAGGAAGAGCATACACATTTTGTCTTATTCTGACTCCTAAAAGCAGCAGATTATGAAGAAACAGCAATGAAAATATTAGGATTGACAGTGTTGAATTAGATACACATAGTAATTCAACAAAAATCTGAGAAGGTACACTCTGCACAATGACCTTATTATCCAGCATTGTAGAAATACTGAAGAAAACAGCTTTCTTTGAAATTTTCCAGATTGAAAATGCCATTTCAATTAAAGCATAGCTAAACGTGCAAACCTACTGAAACATAAAATTACTCTTAAAATGTCAGATTCAAATGCAAGAGTTGTTACTGGAAGATTTTGATAGTAGAATAATGGTTTTGACGGAAAGATATTTTCTGTGTATATAAGCCTTAGGATTATGCAACCTTACCTTGCTGGAAGGAGTACAGTGACTGTGTGGGACATGTACTGTCACTGTGCAGCAGCTACAAGAATATTGCTAGGATTCAGCATTGTGAAGGGAGGCCTGAAATAAGATGCTAGACTGTGCACTTCGACATTTCCCTTCTGCCAGCTCTGCCCTGGGGACAATAATCTGCGGAAGGACAGGCCAGGCCATCTAGGAAGTCTATCTCTTGGATCTGCTGGATCTCATCTGTCACAGCTCTGAGCCTGCCTGGAGTAATTAAAAAGAGAATTGCTACTTTCATCACTTTCCCATAGTACCTTCCCCACATATGCTGTGACAACGTCTATGCTTGGAATACTCTGCAGAACAGAATAATGTATATTAAGAGCATACAGCATCCTAATGTGAACAGCTGTAATTGCAAAGCTCTAGCTTGAACAACAGTAGACCTGGTAAGTAAACCAAACATTACCATTACATGTTTTGCTCATTTAATGTCATCCATAGACAGCAGGGTTTCTGCTGGTGCTACACCTCGTGATACCCTTTAAGGAGCTGCTTTGTGATGCTGAATGTCACAGATACTTTAAAGGACCCCTTGTGATGAGCTAAGCAGCTCCCAAGCAGGAAACAGATCACAGACTCTCTTGCAGTTATCCCTAGTCATGCTTCCAACAGCTATATAAAAAATTCCAAAATATCATAAGCAAATATCGGATCTTGATCTGATCTTCAGTGATGCAATACAACCCTTGTTCAGTAGTTCCAATGTTCAAATCGCTTTACTTGATAAAAGGATTTGCAATCTATTTTTAATTTCAAGGTGTTAAACTTTAGCTTCTGATGATTGTGTATGTCTCATTCTGCCAAAGAGCTGTCTACTGTAAGCACTTCTTATTCATGCCAGCACTTGTCAATTATGTTCAACTGAACTGTTAACACCTTTCCTGACAGTTGAATCCATCAGTAATTTTCCGGTTAATTCACATATTGCATTCTTTTTTCTTCATGTCTTCTCATCCAGGTTTGAACAGCTTGTACACCAAAAGGATTATTCTGCTCCATTACTCAAAATTTCTAAGCTGGCAAAAAAACTTTTTGAAATTGCAGGGTGGGGAAGGACTGTAGTTCAGACAATACTTTCCAATCTTAATAGACATTAATAAGTCATGTTAGATTTATTTCATACTAGTCAGTCAAAAAAAATGTTTTCAGAACTTCCATTATATACTGCAAATAAATATGGGGAAATGCACTGCAGGAACATTTGTGTTACGTAGCATGCTCCTATAAGAAATCAGATTTTCATTCAAATCCCTCACTTCTACATGACATTCTAGATTTTGTAAAATGCCTCTCTTAATTGCCATTTTTCATGTTCTGTTTTAAGATAAGGAAAAGTTTTTCTTATGCTTCTATAGACACCTTTATGTTTTAACTATGCTGCAGTGTAAAGGCATGCCATGCTAGCTTCTCTTCTGTTAGCAAAGTAGTTTTAAAAAATTATTCTATTTGCCCATAAATTCAGAAGCAAAACCTACCCAGGTGGCTATTCCTCTATAAAAGCTAGCCTGGGGGCAATTAAGAAACAAACAATCGATAAAAAGGGTTACAAATAATTAGAGTATCTGTTTTGCACTTGTGCAATAGGAAATTTCCATTCTGTTTAGATTACACTATTTGCTTATAGACCTAAGGGAAAGAGAAAGGAACACACCACATGAAATTAATTGTGCAGCTCTTCTTTTTATAATGGTATTTGGGCCTTATTTCAGGAAAGCAGTCCTAATGTCCAGCCTGGCTTCAGGCTATTCTGAGAAAGAATACTTTGATAAATGTGTTCAGACTTCTCAATTTTAAAGTTACACTGTGAAACTGTCACAGGAATTAATTAGACCACAAAACAGTCATAAACATAAGACATATAGAAATACTTTTTAAGAACACTCTATTTACATTTCTAAAAGCCAAAATCAGATAATGATAAAGTTAACGTTTCCAGAATAACAATTCCTATGTTGCTTTTTAATGTACTTGTATTATTAGTCATGTCCTACTTCACATATACATGAAGTGACATCTGTTAACTCCAACAAGAACTCTACCTAAAGACTGCTGCAGACCAGACTTCATATACTTACACAACTATTAATTGACTTAGGTTTTCATAGTTGATATCATATATTATATTGTAGGTATGTGGAAAACTATAGTTAAATTTTACTGGCACCTTCCACTGTAATGTGTTTATAAAATTGCCAGAGTGGAATTCTTCAACTGAAATTTTAGTACCATTTTATTTGCATTAGGATGATTTCTTCTTTCACAGGGAACCGAACCAAAATACTTCTGATAAGAGCGTTATTAGGAAGAAATGTCAGTTTGCCTTTGTAAAAAGCCATTAACCTGTTTTCAGTCCTGTATCTTCCTCTTTTGCTGCAGGAACTGAAAATGGGAGGTTGGCAGAAGGAAGTGATATTTGCTGATATTATGCAACATAGTCTAATCCTGTTTAAGATCATGCTTGAGTGCTGCAGACCCACCCAGGCCACCTCTGCAAATACCTCTACAAACTAGTAGGAAAAAATTAAGCTACACAAAAAAGAACTGAACTCCAGGAGACTGTCCTTATTAATATCTTCCTTCTTACCAAAGCCCAAATAATGTTGAGACAGAAAAAAGTGGTCAATTTAGCAAAGTGTGTCACTTATCTCCAGTTAGAATCACAGAATAGTTAAGGCTGGAAAGGACCTTAAGATCACCTAATTCCACCCTCCCTGCCAAGGGCAGGGACACCTCCCACTAAACAGTTCTGTGTAATTAACACAGACAATGAAAGCTCATGGGTAATCATACTTCAACAGTTGGTTACTACTTGATTTTTGAGGTGGATGAGCTAAATAATCTCTTTCAGTACCACAGGATAGCTATAAAACGTGGTGCTTTCCTCCTTACATGACCTGACTGACATACAAGGCATGCAAAGTAAAGCTGGTCTTCCCAGGAGCACTGTCAGCTTTGGTACTTAAGAAATACAGTCCCCACCATTTCTGTGTGTTCTCCTTACAGAACACTGTGGCACTAGGGGGAAATGTGAAATAAAAAATTGAAGGACTAAAAATCTTGCTTTAATTACACTACTTTTATTAATATGACATCTGTCAAAGTTCATTTTTTGTTTCCAGACAGCTACACTCATGTTGGCTTCAATAGGATCACTTTCATGGCTAGAAGTGAAGCATGAGGCTTCTGATTAACAACCAGAACATAAAAAATAATACAGAAACAAGCAAAACTTACCCCACAGCAGGATTCACAATCCTAATATAGTCATAGCATCTTCCAATGACAATACTTTCCAGATTTTGTGTTGTACCTTCACCTTTCCATTGCCCTCCCTGCACTTTTGAGAAGCTGTTCATAAACAGAACAGAGACAAGTAAGAGAGACACAAAAAGGTTCTTCATCATGAATTCCTGAAAAACAAGTTCTTTTTTTTAAAAAAAAAATGGGGTTAAAAAAGAGGGTTAAATGATACAATTTACAAGGAAACCTGCAGGCTTAACGTTTAACATTTGCCATACTAGCTATAGTTCTTTACACAGAAGACGAACTTAGACGGAAATCTGAACCTTGCTGGGACTGTAATATAACTATTTCCTGGAACGATTACAGCACAGGGATACATCACTTCCTCAAATCTAACTGTTCCCCACTCAAAAAAAACGAGACTTTTAAGGTCATGATATTGCCACCTGCTGATAACTGAGAAGAATTACAGTTTATTTCAGTAAATGACGAAAAAACTCTTACCACTTCAGTACTCGCGATAAGTTTGCTCAATATTCATTGCCATGCTACACCTTCCTCAAATGTCACAAGTGCATGAAAGCAACATGTTTTAAAACAGTTTATTTTCATTTCAGAGGGGCTATACTTTTTACTTTTACTGCATATATTTCTCTAATGGTTGAAAAAATGCTGAAACATGCATCAAGAACAACAAAGAAGAAATATGCAGATAAAGCAATGATTGCATAAATACTCAAATTCTTAAGTGATCTTCTGTCACACAGCAGGGGTAACATTTGTCAGCTCATTTTCCACCTTTCCCCTGGATACTGATAGCAACACTTTGGTGTGATAATACGAGTTTTAAAGTCTTCATGAACCAAACCACCTTGCAGGCAGGTTCTCAACCATAATGAGAACCAAAAGGGTTGCCATACTTCCTGTGCGCTGAAGAAATCTCTTCAACTTCTAGGGTTACTGTTATCCTCTCTCCACCTTCTTTTTCCTAAGTGCCTTGCTAAATCATCAAATGGCATCAGTTAATCTAATCTTCTGTGTAAATATTCTGTGCAAATACAGTCATATTACTTTTCTCCCCTTGAGGAAAAAAAAAAAGTATTTTTACAACCTTAATTTGCCCATAGACTCAAATTTCTGAGGAACATGCTGGTTCCTTTGCTCTTTCTATTAAACGGCCTCCACACCTCTGTGAATATCTACATCTTTATTATTTATGTACCTAATTTATATAGTGTCATACTTACATTGAAACATTGGTACTCAGCTGACGGATTCTGCCAAAGGCAAAACCTTGCTCATCACTGAGTAAATTGCTGATGACAGATTTCTCCCATAAACGTGTTATAAAGATATCACGTGGGTCGGAACAATCCCAGGCACAGCTACAGGTTGGGCAGAGAAGAGATTCAGAGCAGCCCTGCAGAGAAGGACTTGGGGGTGCTGGTTGATGAGAAAATGAACATGAGCCAGCTTCAGTGTGTGCTTGCAGCACAGAAAGCCAACCGTATCCTGGGCTGCATCAAAAGGAGCGTGACCAGCAGGTTGAAGGAGGTGATCCTGTCCCTCTACTCTGCTCTCATGAGACCTCACTTGGAGTATTGTGTGCAGTTCTGGTGTCCTCAACATAAAAAGGACATGGAACTGTTGGAACAAGTCCAGAGGAGGGCCACGAGGATGATCAGGGGACTGGAGCACCTCCTGTATGAAGACAGGCTGAGAAAGTTGGGGCTGTTCAGCCTGGAGAAGAGAAGGCTGCGTGGAGACCTCATAGCAGCCTTCCAGTATCTGAAGGGGGCCTGTAAGGATGCTGGGGCGGGACTCTTCATCAGGGACTGTAGTGATAGGACAAAGGTAATGGGTTCAAACTTAAACAGGGGAAGTTTAGATTGGCTATAAGGAAGAAATTCTTTCCTGTTAGGGTGGTGAGGCACAGGAATGGGTGGCCCAAGGAGGTTGTGAATGCTCCATCCCTGGTGGTGTTCAAGGCCAGGTTGGGCAGAGCCTTGGGTGACATGGTGTCAGGTGTCCCTGCCCATGGCAGGGGGGTTGGAACTGGATGATCTTAAGGTCCTTTACAACCCTAACTATTCCATGATTCTGTGAAGTGGAACATGAGGAGGCAGATAGCAGCAGTTGCCTGCTCTGGACAAGCATGGCTAACTAGAGACCAGTAGCAACAACAGCAGATTTGCCTATCTGTTCAGGGTGTCCAAGCCTGTCTGAAACACATAGCGAAAATTTAACCAAAGACTAAGATCTCAATTATTTTTAACACACTTGCTCATTCATAGAATCATAGAATCGTTTGGGTTGGAAAGGACCTTAAGATCATCAAGTTCCAACCCCCCTGCTATGGGCAGGGACACCTCACACTAAACCGTATCACCCAAGGCCTCGTCCAACTTGACCTTGAACACCGCCAGGGATGGAGCATTCACAACCTCCCTGGGCAACCCATTCCAGTGCCTCACCACCCGAACAGGAAAGAGTCTTCAGGAAACACAGATTTACCCGGAAAAGCATGTGCAGCGTTGTGCTTGATATGGTGGAGACATGGTAAACGCTGTACTTCGGTTACTTCTCTGATGCTTTTTCTCCCCATTTCTCTTCCTAACCTCTCTGAAACATGGCCATGCTGATAGGGCACCAGCACGTTAATCAAACGGTTTCAAGTTACTGCTTTGGATTCAGGATTAGAGAGGACAACAATCGATGGAAGTCTATGTTTTTATTATCACTTTTTCTGCAACCAAATTTTGTTCAGTTACTTCTGGCCTAACACAAACCAGAGGCATCACTGATGGGACCTTCTATTTAGAACAGGGTAGAAATTGTCAGAGTTTTGCATTGAGACTAAAACTTCTGCTTAAATTATATGGTATAAATTGAAAAGACATAAAGATAGATATCAAGTTTTGTATTAGCCTTTCTCTAAGGACACACCCATTTAGGACTCTTCAACTTCGGGAAGATGTGGGTGCTGCTCAGTGGTGTTCTCCAAAAAAGAGATGACCTGACATAACATCCCAGAGGTAATGGAAATGAGTCAAACAACTGCGGGGATTCCCATCTCATCCTATTGAGCTTCCTTCCCTCTGTGGCCACTTCTAAAAACAGAACACCAGTCCAGAAGAGCCTCTGATTTGACTCAGCCCAGCCACTTTTAATATATGTTCTTAGTTCTGATTTAAATTCTTCATATGATGGCTAAACTAACATGCCTTGGGAAATTGTGCACTGGTTTGATAGCCTTGAGTGTCAAACCTTATATCTGGCTTGAACTTGTCTACCTTTAGCTTCCAGTCATTGGATCACATGATGTCTTTGTGATATTAATGATCTACCCTCAGAAATCTTCTGTCCTTGTAAAGTCTTGTAGAAAAGGACCAAACCTCCCTTTAAACTTGTCCATGAAAATGTCAGTATTTTAATCCCATTATCAGCCAATTTGCCTTAATGTACTGTACTTCACTGCCACACACTGGCTGTCCCATCTTGCCTTCCAAGCTCTGGCAGTTCACACTGGATGCATATCGCTGTCCCTCACTCTCTGCCTCTCTCTCCTAGAAGAAGTTATTGCCCATGAAGGAGAGTCAGCAAAATTAACAGCATATCTGCTCTGGAAATATTTTAGTTCACCAACTGAAAATTAACTCAAACGATCATGAAATTTGGCATATTATCTTCTGCACCCCTGGAAGCTGAGGAACGGACACGTTCTCTCTTGTTATTTCTACAAGATGGGAGTGGTAACTTCCAGCAGAGGAAGGTGCAACAGGAGGGAACGTTAATCCCTTATTACTACTCAGGCATGAACTGCTGGCAGAATAACCCTAATTCTGCATGACTTCATGCTTTTGGCCTGGAAATAAGACCTTGGAACTGCTCATACTGACAAGCTCCTCTGTAAGCTAAGAACCTCAACAAACATTATTTCTGGTGGGCTTGTGTCTTGTGCGTAATTCAACTTAGAGCAGTAACCCAAGGCCCCAGCTGCTCCCTAGTATGCTATGATACAATCTTTGTGCAAGAAATGCACAAGCCCAAAGCCAGAGCTATGCTTATTAGCCAAGCAGTAGATACAACCACCTGGCCAGCTATGCAAGACCTCTGCTTTGCCTTTTTCTTCTCTCATGTTGTCAGGGTCCGATTGGGGGAAACCCCAGCACCGGACCCTGTTTCAGTTCATGATCCCAAGAGTGAAATGAAGATGCCAATGAGGTCAAGTATCATAATTGATTAGTTGTTTTATTACAAAAAAGCAGTTATTATTAAAAAAAAAGGAAATTGTAATAAAGGGGATAGCGATAGGACAGACTGGAAAAAAGGTAGAAAATGAAGCAAGGATTTGGGGTGCAGAGAGAGATAGTCAGCACCATGGATCCAGCAGTGTTTCGAGAATCCACTGTCGTCGTCACTGGTGGTGAGAGTTCTTCAGGGTTCATAGTCGGACCGCAGGGTCCCCCAAGAGTCCGTGGGAAGTGGGTATCCTCGTGGAGGTGCTCTTCTGGAGTCCCCTTGAAGGTACCCTGTGAAGTGTCTCTTGGAGTTGCCCTCATGGCAATGTCTCATGGAGGGTGTCCCTTGGGGTCCATAGTAGTCATCGGTGGAGTGCTCTCACAGAGGTGTCCTTCTGGAGTCATCCTCATGGCAATGGCTCCCTGGCAATGTGCTTCCCCCTGATTACCTTTTCCCTCTTTTATAATGAGTTGGGGGCACTACCTCTGTTCTTCATGTCATGTATTACTCGTTCCTGGTGGACCAGTTTCCCTGGTCTTGCAGCCAGCTCTTCAACACCACCTGTCTCCACACACAGAGGTGTCTGTAGCAATTCTTGGGATAATGGGTAGCAATTCCTCACACCAATGGTACAGTTAATGGAAGGGTCTTATCTCAGCTCTTTCCCACTCATCCCTCAGGCAATGGATGGTGGAGTCCCAGTTCAGCTCCTCACACCCTTCTCCCAGGCAATGGATACTGGAGTCTTATCTCAACTCCTCCCACCTATCTCTGAGACAAAAAATAGGTGGATTTCCACCTCAGCTTCTCAGACCAATTTTTGAGACAATGGACAGTGGAATCTGATTTCAGATCAGTCTCTCTCACATGTGTAACTTTTTTTCCGCAAAGTTGTACAAATTTAACCTTCCAAGATTCATACATATTTGCAAATATGATTTAAGTAGGCCAGCATGTTCAAAATCCTTTGAGGTGGAAAGGATGAATGGAAAAGGAAACACCCAATACCGTAATTGCTTAAGCCTCATTTCCTTAGATAAAGAGCTAAAAAGATTATTGTGCACAGTGTGATCTAGATAACCCTCATTGCATGGTCTCTCTTTCTCAATTCACTATCTACTACTTTTACCAGCAACAATTTCACATTTTATACCCAGACATTAGTTCATTGAGGAATACTGGAATAACAACATATGTGTGCCCTTGCTCGAAATACTTCAATCTGTTTACAGTTAATTGCTTACATCTATAAATTGGTTTTTAATGTATTTAATATCTGCAATGTAGATTTTGTACAGTAATAGTTTTTGGTCAGAAAGTCTGCTGCATTTATTATATGTTTGACGGTATGTTTGGGGGACAGTTATTACACATTGCCATGCTGGTCAGCAGTTTTACTACACATTGCCTTGTTGGCTGACAGCTATACTTTTTTTCCAAACTGGGTGTAATCTCAATTCTGCTAAGTGTTCCTGCTGGTTTAGAATTGTTGCATGGGAAGATGAGTATCAAAGGTTGGTGTTCCTGCTTGTCTTAAGATGTTAAACACATTAAACTCTACTTATTTGGCACCAATGCAGCAAGAAGTTGGTTGCAGATTGCCTGCTGCAGATCAGTTTGGGCCATGTACGTCTGCAAAATGATTTGGGTTGGAAGGGACCTTAAAGATCGTCCAGTTCCATGGGCAGGGACACCTCCCACTAGACCAGGTTGCTCAAAGCCCCACCCAACCTGGCCTGGAAGGCTGTCAGGGATGGAGCATTAAGCTGCATCAGGTTGGATGTTAGGAAAAATTTCTTCACTGAGAGGGTGACCAGGTATTGGAACAGGCTGCTCAAAGAAGTGGTGGAATCAGTCCGTGGAAGTGTTCAAAAAAGGTGACAATGAGGCCCTTAGTGATACGGTTTAGTGGTGGCCTTGGCAGTGCTGCAGTAATGGTTGGACTTAATTATCTTAAAAGATCTTTTCCAACCTAGGTGATTCAACGATCCACAACATTTCTGTACAACCTATTCCAGTACCTCACCACCCTCACAGTGAAGAACTTCTTCCCTATTTTATCTTAAAGCCATTAGCCCTTGTCCTGTCACTACCGGTCCTTAAAGGAAGCCCCTCCCCAGTTTTCTTTGAGGCCCCCTTTCGGTATTTCCCTACAAACACTACTTCCTATGCTCCTCTTTACCCCTCAGCACTCTCATCTCCAAGCGAAACGAGTTGTCCTGACTTCCTGTGACGCCCAATACAATTTTTAACACCTTCCCAAGGCAGAAAACCTTCTGTGCCTCTGAGGTGCCGGGTCACCCCGTGGGCCTCAAGGCCCGGTACCAAGAGGCAGCTGCCCGGGAGCAACTCCCGCGGCTCTGCTCAGCCGCCCCCCTCTCCCGCATTGGCACTGCTGGGCGCTGCTCCCCGCCCGCAGACGCGGATTAGTCATCCCGCCCTGAACCACACCAACCCCAAGCCGTACCCCGCCGCTGAGGGCCCGCCTTCAGCCCGCCACAGCCTGCACTCCGCGGGAAGGGGCGGGGTCAGCCTCGCATGCGCAGTGTGGCGGGCCGCTCTCGGCGGCGCATGCGCGGTGCGGATGTTAGCGCTGCCGTTAGCACCGCGGCTCTATGGGGAGAACATGGCTCCCTTCCCTGAGGAGGTGGATGTTTTCTCGGCTCCGCACTGGCGGATGAAGCAGCTCGTGGGGCTCTACTGCGACAAGGTAGCGGTGGGGGCGGCCTCTGCCCCGCGCCCTGGAGGCAGGAGGGAGGGTTTCGGTAGTGCGCAGCTGTCACCGCCCCGCCGCCCCGGCCCCGCCGGCAACTTCTCAGCGCTGCGGCGGGGCTCCGGGTGCCCCGGCCGTTCCCGCCACGGGCAGCGGGGCTGCTGGTGCCGCCTTCTCCGACGCGCCGCGCTCGGCCCCTTCACACCCGCGCTCCCGTCGCTTCTCGTACCCCAGCGGCTGCGCGCCGACCCCGGCGGGGTGTCCCGTTCTGCTCGGCCGGGACCACGCCTTCTCGGCGGACCGCGAGGCAGGGGGGCCGTCATCAGCCCCCGGACTTGCAGCCCCGGGGCCGGCCGCGGCGCAGCGGCAGCCGCTGTGCTGAGGGGGGAGGCGTGGGGGCAGGCGGCGTGCCCGCCCGTTCTCGTTAGTTAACCAGTGCCAGGCACCGGTGCTGTGCGTAGTACTCGCTAGCGGTCTGCAAGCCGCTGTGCTCGCGTTTATAATCGCAGCGATTAATTGGCGAGAAGCTTAAAGATACCTTAGGTAGGGTTTTTCATTTTAACTATGTATAACGTAGACAAAAGTTATTTTTTATTCTTGCATCAGGGTATTTAGTAGTGAAGAGTGATGTGTCACCTGAAAGGCAAACTTTGCTGCAGCAGATTTGAGTGAAATGGAAGGGTTTCAGGAAAACACTTCAGAGCCAGTACTTGTACTGAAAGTAGTAGTGCCTCCCATCTCTGGGCATAAATGGCTGTTTGAACAACCAGATTGGCTAGCAGACATGTAAAAGGAGGGTGAAGTTACATGAGAGATAGTATGATAGCTTACTGCTGCCAGCAGGATGGGGAGTTCACGCTTCCTTCCCCTGTTTTCCCCATGCCACCTTGTACTGCTCTGGGGCCCATCAGCTCCCTTCGTATAAGCCTGTTCAATTTACTGATAGGGTAGAGAAAATGCGAGTTGTTTTTTGCTAGGTTAGCTAACTAAACAGTCTGGGCAGAGGGGCTGGGAGGGGAGAAGGTGAGAAGTTGTGTAATTTCACTGTGCCTTCTATCTGAGTGCATTTGCAGTTTATTTTTAATCTCTGGTGGCATGAAAACTTGTGATACCTTAACAGAGTGGATTTTACATGAAGAGAAACTTAACACCTGGGACTGCCTCCTGACCCCCAGCAGCAGTGTTAGCATGTTGCTGACAGCAGCTAAACAGGTTTTGTTTGAACCTCCAGATACAGTAGTTATTTAGGTTTTGTTTCTAGGGAGGCATTTCTGTCACTTTTGAGCCTCCTATGAAGTTCTGGCCAAATTTACCGTGACTTGATAAAAGTAAAACTGCTTGGGCAGGAATGATTCGTAAATGTTGGCAAATTTGATTAAAGCTGTGTGGTTTGCAGTAAGTATTATATTTCATTTTCTAAAAGTTTTCATACAGGGGTTTGCTTGCTTCTTTTTTCTTTTGAAGAAGTGCAAGCAGGAATGAATGAATGCTTCAGAAAGTGCCAGTCTTGCACCCTGTAATCCTGTTTCAGAACTTGGAGACTGTGCCTGGGCTGTGACCTTTGTATTAGAGTAATGCTAGCTTTGCATAAGAAAAACCTCTGAACTGTTTGCCTTTCCTTTTTGTGTGATTGAGGTGTAATTAGATAAGACTGTAGTTCTGCTTACACAGCAATTATAATCTCTAAAGCCATTCTCTTTATAAATTTGGTACATCCTTGAGGGGTCTTTAATTTTGTGAGTTACATGTTAGCTGCGGTTTCTTACAATCCCTGTACACTGCAATAGCTGTCTGTTAGTGGCTGAATTTAGTAAATTTCCCCAAATATTAGTTAAGGTGACAGGGGTGCATTCATGCTTTGCTTTCCAGGGGAACAGCTATAATGTTATTGGTGGGTTAAGTATGTAGGTAGTTAAATAATCCTTTAGGACAGTGAGAGACACCGTTTATTTTGTTCTTCCAGGACTTGCTGTGATATAGAACAGTGAATCGGAGGTTTAAGATGTTTGGTGCATTAGGCAAGTTACCTACATTTTTAACTGTTGCTAGCAGAGATCGCACTGTATGGTTGCTGCATTTATAAGTGGCATTTTTGCCTGTGTTGTACATGGTTCCCTGGACTTGGATAATAACTAAAATTCTGTTTAGTAAGAAAACCCACAATGTTACC